CTGACTGTAACACGTTTGGATATTGGTATGTTTGTGAAATTACTTGAATTGTAGAATGTTTTTATCTTTGGTCGTGGTTTTCTTGATGTAAAAGTGCGAACTACAGGGGCGATCGGTTAGTTGTACGTTTACGGACCGCCTCACATTTACATTTAATTTTGATCCTTGATTCATTCTATTGAAGGTATGAAGGGAATTAGGGAGAATTGTCGGAACAGTTCCAACTGCATTTAACACGTTGAACGTCCAGAATGATATATTTACGATACCCATAATAGAATAAAATAGTATATAAAATTACTGTTATCAAGCTATGTGTCATACTGTGGACATTTATTTTGCTGAAGCTTGCCAGTTTATGTTACGACGCTGATAGTATTGAAAAATGTACTAGGTTTTATCACTTTGCTTTAATTAATTTTGATATTGCCGGTTGCGGATAACCCCCATGGAGCCATCGGCAAATAGAGCACTGGCGACCCCTGTGGCGTCGAACGTGCTACCGCGATGTACCGTAATATCGATTAATTCTAATTAGTCACCTACTGAATACTGTGTTAAATTTATGTATTAAACGATTAGCAAAATCATGGGGAGAGAGGGAGAAGGAAAGCTGATTAACAGTTAGCTGTGAAGTTTATATGTAACAGCGCTACTGTAGGCGATAATATTACGTAGCATCTGCACAAACAGTCTTGAATCAGATTTCAGAAGCAAGTACGCATGTAAAATTACTAAACTTTCAAATACTAATTAAAAAGTGTCATTCTTGGTCGAGTCAGGCAAACGTGTAATTTTGGACATGTCTGAGAAAAGTTCAGGCACGATCACAGGCAACGATTCATAATAATACAACATTATAATAATATATTACGGGATTCGTTCGGGTGAACAATGTAATACGATAATAGGGAAGGAGATAACGTAGCTGGATGATAATTTCTTTGTGAAACAGGAAGCGCGAAAGAATACGTTCGTACGGTGACAAATAAACCGTGCGAATCCCTGCATCACGGAAATTCTACGAGATTAATTAAATAAAGTACCAAGAGTGGCGAAGAACAGTTCCAGGCTGCCGGAAGAATGTGGAGATAGGGAGAAACTGGGTCGGAAATTCGTATATTTACCGATAAATGCAAACACGAGAACATGGAAGTTGTCAGGGAATTAGCCGATCCTGATATTACTCGTAGGAAGACGAAAGCACATTATATCACACTTAAATTACAAAGTGACGAATAAACAGTTCCAAGAATTTGTTTCCATCGCTACGTACTTCGTCGGAAAAATGAATGGAACTAATTTCAGGACTGTCCAAGAAGAATAAACCAAGGGATTAACGTATCACTTCATATAAGATCGATAATGTTATGAATTCAGTATCAATTACTTTGATACTTTTCCGAAGATAACCGCGGCGGTCTTCTCGCCGGTATTCCACTTTCCTTATTTAACGAACCGGACAAAAACGATAAGAAACGTAGAAGTAACGTCGCGAGAATTAATTCACTCGATCGGCGCGCAAAAACAGGCTACCATACGTGGCAATTAAAACGGATAGCTCTCAGCATCGTTATCTCTCCCTATCTGTTCCGTTTCTTGGACGCCGCGTGGCAGCGATTACCCCCGTTCTGCCGACTCCTCTTCCTGCTTCACCGGCGAGGGGTCTTCGCGCAACTAATCGGCGACAAAGCGGCAGCTTTGCCAAGTACGGGAGTACAGTCAGACATCCTTGAATCTGATCAGTGGAGAACCAGAAAAAAAATGACCAGAAGGGGCATACGCAGGGGAATTGTCCAAGACGTATGCTACCTTGGTATAAAAGAACTTATCGTGTCGGATAATGTAAACAACAGTGAGGCTTGTGACATATAGGATTCTGAGGATCTTGATGGTTTCAGAAGAAGTTTTTTAAATTTGCATGTCCTTTGTGATATGCGTATTATGCTGCCAGAAGATTTAGAAGTAAGGCTCGCGAATTTAGAATACTATTTACCGTAGTTTATAAAGCGGAAGTCAACGGTAACGGGCCCAGCAAGTTCGCCACAGTGTCTATTAGCCCCCCACCAGTTCGACCCGCAAAGAGAGCTACTTTAGCCATTGAAACGCGAGATTCTACTTTTCCTTTCACTCGTCATCGCATTTTGGAGCACACTGCCTCTTACTTTCTACGCTATAGGCGATGGCTATAATTGTTCGGGCGTTAAAAAATTTGTCAGACACGGAATCTTTTCAGTTCCGCCGTAACATCTGAAGACTGATTAATAACAGAGTGAAACGAAAAGAAGAGTAATGGAACGTTGCTGCACAGCTGGGAACGCTGAATGATCCATAAATAAAGGAACAAATGTTTCTTTTATGTAAATCGCACGAGTGGGTTGAAATTCTTCGAGAGAAGTAAGACGTCTTTCAGAAGAATGAACATTTTGGCAGACTATTGAAAGTATACTTGACTTTTGAAAGATTCAGGAAGAGGACCTGAACTTAGATCAGATCACGAAAGAAGCTATTAGCACTATGCTCACTGGTATTCGAACATCTACGTCCACTGACAAGCAAACTCCGCTCCCACTAGAGGAAAAAGTAGCATAGGGGAAGGGCCTCCTACCACCTGCCCTATGGATTTACTGAAATTTATACCAAACTAACATTCAGTTCAACATTTATTTCAGTACTTGAAATAAATTTACCAAGTGGTAAGAGGCCATTCCCCTACACGACTGTTGCTCCCAACCACGTTTGCCCCTACAAGCTGAGAAAGTCTCAGAAGATCTTTTTAGACAAAATTAGTTTCACATTACAAAAATGCTCATGCCAAGTTGTTGATTACATACATCCACCAATAGAACTAAAGTATAGATTCCCTTTGACTTCTAACTCAAGACGCTAGTGATAATTTTCGAGAAAGCAACCCAGGTCCACTAAACACAATCCCCTATCCAAGCTACCTCTCTTCACTACCAAAATGGAATTCAACGCACCACCTCCCACAAGGATATCATCTAGCAACTCACTCGAACGCTCCCAACAGAATCACTCCCCTCCACCAACTACCTCCAAGTATCCACGTATCATATCATCCCACTGTTGTGCACCCCGTACAACACGTTCACCTCCCAAAGAATTTCTCACGCGTCCGTTCCGCCGACCCACATATCCCTACCCCGGGCCTCATCCTTCCCGAGGTCCTCCATCCAAACACACCTTTCCCCCTCCGTTAATCGTTGACAAAGCACCCGCGCGGCAGAATACAGTTAGACATCCGCGGATCCGGCCAGCTGAGAGCCTCGAGGAAAGGACGCGAGGGACAAAAGGGGGGATGGAGCACACGCTGGAGAATGGCGCGTTCTACGGGCCCCAGGATCGTCCAAACGGAGGCGAAGCGCGTCCCCAAGCACGTAAATAGATGCGACGCGGATGCGGGGGCGTGTGAACCGAGCTTAACAGGCCCACGTGGCACGGTGGGTGTGTCCCCTTTCGGCTTCCGCATACTCCTCCGCGGTCAACGCGCCGCGACGCGTTATCGTCGGGACAGCTACAACTGTAAGGCCTACTGTCCACTAATGCTTCTCGTCATAGACGCTTCATAGACATCTGACGCTTGCAGGACCAATGTAAAACAATGGACGTGCGTCCAGATATGCTTCAGCGTCGCGTTTTCGTCGCTGCATACGTTCGGCACGAAACGATGCAAAATTTTCATTTATGTTTGAGTGGGAAATATGTCGGCCGTGAAATTCGTACAGATTGCTGAAAAGTTACTCATGAAATATAAAAAGAATACCCCTGTTTGTAAATGGCTAACACAACATTGCATTTTTGTGTCTTGTTTTTTGATTAGCGGAGCTACCAAACGCACTAAATTCTTGCACGTATTGTTATTCATTCTATAGAAAGAATGAAATACATGATCATTTATATTCTTTTCTATGTAACGATGTAACCAATATCTTTTCCGACATTTCCACCGTCGAATATAATTACATAAGGCGATAACGTCCGAAAATGAAGCTTCCTGTACGCTTTCTATACGCTTCCAATACGCTCAAGTGGACAGAAACTCAAGTGTAGCGTAATCGTTGTGTTATACGCTACGCTGACGTGTCTATGACGAGACGCCTTAGTGGACAGTAGGCCTAAGTCGCGTGTGTCGCAAGCGCGCGCCTGTTCCTCGCGCGGACCAGTCTAATGGAAGTTTTAATAACCACGACCGGGAGTATTAGAGGGAGAGACGCGGTGGATTCCGCCTTTGGCACGCCGGGGAATCTCCCGGGAAATGGCGAGCTGCCTCGTTTAGTGGCATGAGGAAATGGTACGGTTTCGAAGAGGAGGATCACGGAGTTGGGTACGTCTTGTTGGTGATCGGAATTAGATGCGACGTGTTGGAAAGCTTTCGTGACGCTTTGAGTGAGGTGGATGTTGTTTAGAGTTTGATTAGGTTGTCGGTGGTGATTTGCGCGGGGAAGGTTGAATATTTGATCCAGTGGAAGGTGATTAAATATTGCTTTGGGATGTTGAGGATGGTGCCTTTTCTAGTAATGCTTTGAAAGTTAATATTTGTACTTGTAGAATGTACCCGTAGTAATTAGCTAGTATTAGAATTTTGTAATAAAATATTCACAATTAGGATCAGAGCAGTATGTTAACACGTTGGTTTATGATTTTTCCAGTATGATAAGTGGTATAATGTCACACATTGTTCTGTAGGATTTTATAGAATTTTAAGGTCAGCTTAATGTGTTCGTTCCTGGAGTAATATTTCAATACTTGCGTGGCTATGCACTATATTGTATCGCCTTAACTCACGAGATTCACAGAACCATAATTGGTCTGATGTTTCTTCCGAGGGCGTTCCACTGTCCCACGATAATTATTAGGCTTCTCAGAATCATTTTGCGTATCATTACGACCATAGTGTATTCGCCTAATTTCTCGAAGGATAGGTAACATATAGCTTCAAATGGATAGTATTACAAGGTGTATGCGTTTTCGGTACTCACCAGGAAGCGTGAGGCCACACGTGAGAACGTGTTCCGGGACGTCGTGAATGGTCCTGGGCGCTACCACGTCGTCGACTCTCTTTTTCGTTCCTGAAACAGGAGACAACAGGGATCTCGTTACTCCCGCATCCTTTAACGGATCCGATCCCCGTCCACGTTTGTATCTCAATCGACGACGGAATCGTATACCAGCAGGATTCGGTAATCCGATATAATACCGTATGGGCTTCGCGTAAAAGTCCTTTCGTGACAGTTGCACAAATATGACCGTGATTCACCCGAGGACAGGATATCGAATGACTCTCCCAACCCCGATTCGTCGGTGTCCAAAGAAAAAAAAACGACAGGGAGAATGAACTACGTGTATTCGTGCTTTACCGAGAGATTGCCAAGTACAGTCTGTCCCAGTTTGAATGAAAAATTGAGTCACCCTAGAACCGATCAGAACAAATGTAGATCAATACTCAACAAGACCATCGTGTGTCTAAACCATTCATCAAGTTCACCACATTATACAATTGAAAATATGAATTATACAGACTGTAGATAGTAGATTGTCTTCGACTTCGTCATTGTATCAAGTCACTTACTGTATTATTTATTTATTGTGCCCGGTAAGATCGACTGAAAAGATTAAAATTTATCCGAACGAACGTGAAATCGTTACGCCTGTTACCAGGCTATAACTTCGAATGAACACAATTAACTTCTCTGTCAACCCGGCGATTATTAACGTCTAGTATGTATAAAGCACGACGTGGAAGAGGAAGCGAAGACGTCGACCAATGGGGTGTTCGAAGCGCGTGCTCTCGCGGTTAGACGATCCTCGAATCACGAGATCCGCCGATTTGACCTACCCCCCTCCTGGCCGAATGGCTTCCTCCAATTTCACCTCTTTAACCCTCGTCACCTACGGCTGGAGTGCTGCGAAGGTGAACGGCGGAATACGCACGCGTATACTTTTCGCCATCTAATAATCGTCCCGCGTCATTTCGTAGCCGCGATGCACTTTCTACCGCGAGACGTGGACAAATTAATTGCAAGCAATTAAGACGCCTCGACGGCGGTTTATCGTTTATTGTGGCTGGTCCTGTGGCTAAACACCCGGGCGAAAACGTTCGGAAGAAAGTAGCGTCGTTTAATGAGACTCGACGGTGATGCAGGAAGTCGGATGATTTAAAGGGGAGCATCATTTAACTCATCTTTCATGACACTGTAATAAGTGACCGTATTCTTGAGTAGGTATGAGAAGTGTACAAAGAGGATGGTACAACGTGTGTAGTAATACCTGAACAGTGTTAATTCCACGCAGAAGTTTCTTCTCACTTGTCGGTCGTTGTGTTCTCTTGATGCATCGAAATACCCTTTGACCAGTCGCTTTAATCATCTTGTGTAATACTACCTTATGCTTTCAGTTGTTTCCATTACTCGTGTTATTATTTTTCTCAAGACCACACTCTATCTCATACATATGTTTACAACTCTTATCAATTTTTTACATTATGATTATACATACAAGACTTTCGATTATCACATGTGGAGTGAAAACGAAGATACGTCCATCGGAAACGCAATAATTTATCCCGAGAAAGATCGTTAAACTCGTAACGCACGGCTATTAATCAAAATTATCAATAAATCCAACATTCTGATCGTTCTCACGTACGCAGCTGTTTTCCAACGATCAGATTTCCGTCAATTAAAATGTTCCCGAGTATCTCATCTTCCACCGGAGCCACAATCTTCTTAAAGCCTGTGATTCCTCTTAACCGACGTTTCGCACGTTCCACGGAGGCGTATCAAAATATCTGCGCGAGATTAACATGCAAATTTCGGGCTTCTTACGATGGTCGAGGCTCGTTACGACCGACGTGTTAATTGCTCGACACAACGAGGCCGGCCGACGCGACTGCACGGTTTCGCAAGAACAATGGGGGTCGATCCATCGTCGAGATGAGGTACCATCTCTAAAGTAGAGACCGTCGAACAAAGAGGAATGAACGGCGACGATAAGGGAAGGGGGAGAAAACCGTAGGATTTATCAGTGATTTATCGTCGTCGTTTTCGTGGAACTCGTCGATCACCACCGACAGCTAGATGAAGCTCTGTAACTCGTCTTCCTCTTGTTGCGACTGTTTTCGCGCCGTTTATCTCCATCTTCCGGAGAAATTGAACGGAACACGCCGAAGGAGCCAATAGAAAGCTGGAAAAACGATTTGGAGGCAGGATAAAGAGACATGAATGGAGAACAAAGCATACCATCAACATTGGAAAAACAATCGTAAACGTACACTACCGGCCAAAAGTTTGGAACCAGAGTTCATGATCGATTGAACAATTATTCATTTATTGGACGACCAACCTAGGTTCCTGTTGACTTTAATTTATTCTATTAATAACTGCGACCGTGTTGCTCTGTCCTAGACACTGATTTTCCTATACACAATACAAAAAGATTTCCCTTCAGTGATCAGCTCTTTTCATACTACGTCCATCTCACCACACTTACAACACCGATCATATAGAAAATAATAAAATCTGTCAACTTGTCAAACAACCGACGTCAGAATCTCTAAATAACCAGCTTACCAAACCGCGATACATTCAATGACCAAAGAACTGGTACCGACCAGAAAAACACGGTTAGAACCGTAAAATGAAGGTAGAAACGTAGAAAAGGGCACCTGTCCACCGAGAACAGCAATTACCCCCAGAAACATCAAGAAAGGTAACTAGCCACCACACGCGCGTCCAGTCATCGAACGTACGCACGTCAACGTGACGGCCGAGGTTGATTACAGCTCTTGCTTGCGTTCGGAATCCTCCGAAATCAGGACGTGCTCGCGTAGAACACGACGACTATATTACTCCCGCGGTGTGTATTACTCCGTGCGCGTACGCGTGTCGTCCGAGGATAATTACAGGCGATCCGACCGCCGAGACAGTTCTTCCCTCCGGATAATGATTGCAATTAAAAGCGGGCGATCGTCTCCAGCCGTAATTATCAGGCACGCGATAGACACACACATCACGAAACAATTTATGTACGCGAAATCGCGATTAACAGGAGGATTTATCGTTGGACAGGTTGGCTGTCATGACGGCAGATTTCTAATTTCCAGAGAGAAGGAACCAAACGGGGGAGAGGGCACCCCTGTTGGTCCCTGTGGGTCAACGATCTCTGCTTCGTCGGTTTTCCGGACGATCGTATAAATTGTACTGATTACCGGATGTCACGCGAACGGAACAGCTGATGCGCTTGCTTTCGATGCCCGATTGTACGTATGTACACATCGCTCTCGTTCGAGATACCCGAACGGTTCCAAGAGGGAGGGCTTCCTTCGGAGAAACGCTCGCGGGACACGCGATCTTGTCTATCCGGACGACATTTTATGGAGGGTGGACGAACGAGACACTATTGTTCTGTGTTCGGAATTGAAAATACAGCGAAATGGCCATTAGAGGAATTAGTGTAGGGACCGTGACTGGTTCTGGTACCGGGGTTCGGTGAATAGTAGCGTGCACTGTTATTTCTATATTCCAGATTCCATGAAGAGGGGTTTACAGCCGAAAGACTTGAACTGTAGGATGTCAAGCAAGGAAGGCCTCAAACCTCTGATCCGTTAATCATGTCGAGAGCTTAAGAAGTTTATCGTATTTCGTAATAGGAATTTTTGATCGAGTCTAAATATGGATTGATACGATGCGTATCATGAAGTTAATGCTCTGTATGACTTTTCACTTCCGTGGTTATTTGCACATATTTTGTTCACTTTGATTGTCACTACACGATTGTACAGTTTTCCTCGAACAATCCTGTGTATTTTGAACAACATAAGAAATAAGGGGAATTATGTAGAATACAGAGTATATTATTGTCAATTCAATACTCATTTATTATTGTCAATTCAATACTTCATTTTGCTACGAAACATAGAAATATCATCTATTTCCTACAAGTTCCTAAAATATCTTTTATATCATATCTTCTTCTATTGGTATACCTTATTCGAGGGATAGTTTCCCACTTCGTGTCTTCTGAGTAACACAAACACACACACACACACACAAATTCCTTCTACAAGTGTTGAAAAAAATGAACTCGATCGTTTCGAAGAAGCGTTAAAACTGCGTTTCCAAGTAGCGATGTCGCCCAATAAGGAACCCAGGGAGCCCGACAAGGTGGAATCGTCGGTTGTACGCAATAAAATCCACGGCGGTTCGGGTTCGCGGGACAGCGAATTAGCGATCGCGATGAAGGGAATCAGGAAGTTTACGCTCGTTGCATGCGGATGAGCTTCGCTCGGTGCCGCGATAGAGCTTCCTCCTCTCGGATCTACCCGGGATCATTGACATAATGATCTGAATGGAATGGAGGGGGGTGGGAGAGAACAAGAGAGGGAAAGGGGAATGCACCGAGGGGGAGGGGCGATCGAGGTCGCTGATACGCAATCGGATGCTGCTGCACACGGTGTCTCGCGGATGCAGCGGACTCCTCGGTTCACAGAAACCAGACCGAAGCCTGATTCGGACGCGACTCTTATCAACATCTGCCGATACTTAAAGGAATATACAATCGGTAATATTCTCGACCAGAAGCAACTTTAACTCTTCAGAGATAAAATGTTCACCAGAAGATTCTGATACGTCTCCGTTTTTATGAATAAATTAAATTGCCCGTAGAGGGTGGTGAACGATTCTCTCAATACTCTTTTTTTTCCATTATTTTTTGCTGAGTCAATCAAGATCGCGTGTGGATCGTTAGTGAACACTGGAACTACCGACGTAAAATGTATATTTCTTTCTATCAGACACGACAAACTTTTGAAAATATATAGGTTTATAAATATGTGCTAATAAAAATTGTAAAACATAATGTGAATGTGCAGAATACAAAACAGTCCAAATTTACGGAAGGGTGGGTACAAATTCTACTTTAGTTTCGACCCAACGAAACTTTTAATACAGGAAACAAATCTTTCGCGTGATTTCGATACAGTGAATCGATCCAAAAAAATCTGAATTTGCGTAAATATCCGCAGTCTAGTTATACCATTTCAATCATCGTTATAAAACTGTACTAACCAATC